GCCCAACGCTGAGAACATGACCAACAATGTTAGCCGTAACAAGTGGTTTGTTATAATCAGTAGCGAGCTGCTGCCACGCCGCGTGCCTGCACTGCAAAGCTGCTGTCATGCAGAGAGGTGGGTATAAATGCAAGAGCTTCTTTGGCTATTGGCATGAGGAGAAAAAGCATATGTTAATATAGCATGCAGTTTCTCAATGGCTAACCTATACATAATGTTAGCTATAATGTTAGTACTACAGCTACAACTACAGCTACGTCTAGGATTTGGTCCAAGCCAAGCAGCTACCAGGTTTTAAGGCCTGGCAGTGAGGGAGGTAGTGACTGTCCAGCCCCTAAGCCATAATGGACATTCCCTTGCCACTGACTTGAACCTTAACCCCCCAAGGATACAGCAAGGTTGGTTATGGTGAATGCATGTTAGTAGAACGAATAATAACGCTGCTCACCTGGGTATCTATGTACATAAAGAACAGGAGTACTCTTGCTGATCATAAGGCCAGGCTAAAGAACTTCTCTTTTCAACAGAGCGTGTAATGTCTGACTCAGTGAAGTCCTTTGGCCTGACATGAGCTAAAAGTTTGGTGTGCCTTGTGATTATGCAAATGTTGGAAACTAAAACTACCAGAGCACCAGATAACTTTTCTGAAAATTCCCCATTGACATATAAAAAGGATCTAAAAGCTCTAGTATATTTTTTTTTATAAAAACAAAAAATTACTTAAACTTTCAATTTAGTACTTGAAAGTTAAAGTAATTACATTTTGACAACTATGTCGCCGCTCTACTCCAGTTAACGTGACTTGTAGGAAGCCTAAAGGGGGACTCCACTTTTCCTTACGTAAAGTTGAAGTCCCGCAAACTTTATTCAGGATTTTTTTCAGTATCTACTTATAATCTTTATTCAAAATAAACACTATCTAATGTGTGTATCTGCTGTGGTGCCTTCTGGTGTCGTCTTCTGGACTTTACCTAGCTACTTTAACATTTTACTAACGGACGAATAAAAGAAACTTCTCTTACGTACATTGCAAGACTGGTGCATAGTTACATCATTGCGTGTCCATTTTATCACTTACAAAATGGACTAGGAAAGTCGACTGCAATTTAAATCTAATACAGCTTTTGATGCCTGACTTCCAAAACATCAATAAATACTCATCTGCAGATCTATTATACTGCTATCTCTCTGACTACAGCAATCTTGGATCAAGTGTGTGTGTCTTACAGATCTACATATTGCAATGCTATGCTAGAACCCCTGTACTTTTAGTCAATGTTATCAAAGATCAACACAAGGCACTTAATATGTCCAAAATGTTCCCTACGTTTAACTTAGTAACTGTAAATTCCCCATTAAAGTACACACATTTTAGCACTCAAAAAAGTGTCTGGGAATCACTTAAGCATGAAACAATTGAACAAGTAAAAAGTTTGTATTGTTACAAAAGACTGGTTGCCAAATAGTAAAACATTCTAAGCTGCATGATTATACAGCAAAGACATCTATAGAAGTCATTGAGAAACAGCATGAATTTGAATTTATTCTGTTCATATTTTGTTTAAGATTGGAGAGGGAATAAGTTTTCTCAGCTGTAGGTCAGAATTGTCTCTCAACAGCCCAAATATGCCCGGTGCGTACTTCAAATGGGAATTTACAATATTACAAGAAAACACACTAACCTGTTTAACAAGCTGTCTTCTTTTCTTGAGCTTGCTTGCTTCAAAGTAAACTGGAAACCGTGACATCGGCCAAAAGGATGATCTGTAAAAAAAAGGAGGAAAAACATTAGTATATTTTAAATGTGAATTTATGGCATTGCAATAAACCAAAGTATCATACTAACCTGTTGGACAAGTCTTCATTTCTTCATGCTTGTGTCCTTCAAAGCAACCTGGAAACAGCGGCATCAGGCAAAGGGTGATCTGCAAAAAATGGGGAGAGAAACTTTAGTATACATCAGGACAGTTTGCAGTTAGTATTTTCCATCTATTCCAGAATCTGGGTCATACCAGGTTTGCTTCAGTCAATTCGATCTGCAGTACCAAGCTGGTGAACCGGGTGGCGCTGCTCACTGCACGTATTTATCATGTATTTAGTTAGGTATAAGCAATTTAAAAAAAAAAAACTCAACATGAATTAGAACATGTTAAAGTGAAACAAAAGTAAAACCGCTGAATTTGCAACGTCAGAAAAATTTCCACGGGAAAGGACCGTGAGTCCGGCTCCATCCAGGCGGAGATCCCCCTAAATTTCACCGAAAACATATTAAAGGTTGAACGCTAGGGTACGGAGTCTGTCAGCACCGTGCTAATTTTTCTGTAAGATTCCGAAAAATCAGCCCAGAAAAAACACATTGGCGCTACTAAATTCAGCTACGCTTTTCTCGACAATCGTAAGGAAAATCTGTGAGAGCACAACACTTCTGAGACAACTTTTGGTGCATACTTGCCCCGCGTACGTACTAAAGTCAGAGGTAAGGGCGATGATTGACAGCTCAGTCAGACGGTCAGTCGTCATTGTCCCAAAATTTAAACAAAATAAAATTCCTTGAGGATTTATAAAAGAATTTCAGAAAATAGGTCAAGCTCAACTCTATTAAGATTGTAACTATCGTAACTGGTCCCCAACCTTCGGCCCGTACCGGGTATGGCTACACACGAACACGGGACCCGCACCTGTTTCACCGGGCCCCACACGTGGGACCGACCGCTACTCAATATTTCAACATTTTCCCGATAAAAACTACAAAAATAAACATGAAAGTGGTACTACTAGATGTAACAACATTTTATCTCCTAATTGTGGGGTAAAATTGCTGAGAACATAACAATTTAATGCAACTTCTGACACAACATGTACACTTGCCACGTGCTGACACGAGCGATGATTGACAGCTCAGTCAGACGGTCAGCCGCCGCCATTTTTCAACATTTTCTCGATAAATTCTGAGGAAAAATATCTAAAAGCACCACTATTAGATGTCACAACATTTTGTCTGGTGATTCTGAGGTAAACATGAGGGGAGAAATTAATTTGTCTTGAAATTTTGACCAACGATATACATGTGCCTACTTCTCCCACCGGGTAGTGCCAGCACACGGGACACCCCGCCTATTTTCCCGCCTTTTTTCTCAATATTTGCTCTATAAAACCTGCTAAAACCGACCTAAACGTGATGCTAGTAGATGTCACAACATCTTATCTAATGATTCTGAGGTAAATATCGGATGGAAAATCAAATTGTCTCGAAATTATGACGGACGCAATTGCCCGCACCATTCTTTGCCAACACACGGGGCAACGCGCCCGTTTCGCCGGGACACCTCCTACGTGAGACCGCTACTCAACATTTTAAAATTTTCCCGATAAAATCTGCTAAAACTTAGCTGAAAGTGATGCTACTAGATGTCACAACATTTTATCTGAAGATTCTGAGGTAAACATTCGGTGGAAAATTAATTCTTCTTCGAATTTTGACAGACAAATTATATCTAACTCATTTTGGCGGTATGCAACTATACACTGATGGACCCGGGCTTCCGTTTCAAAGATTTCTGACAGGAAATGTGAAGAGATACAGAGAAAAGTTCCACCTTCACGATGCTTTGACCGCAATAACCAACGTCTTCGTAAAATAAGTACCATTTCATGAAAATTAAATTTCTGACTGAAAAATTTAGACATTCCTGTCACTGAGAAAGCAATTCTAAACCTGAAGTTGACGCCAAAGTTCCTGTCAGAAATGTCTTAAAAATAAGCGAAAATAAGCCAGGACACACAACAGATTGCTGTATGTACTCTATACCAGGTAATACATGGGTAAACCATGAAATTCTACGGCAGAAAATTATAAATTCTTACCTCAATTCTAATGCACGGCTAGCGGCGGCTGTCACCTCCGGAATGTGAAGTTTTCTGGCGGGAACTTTTCTTGCAATAGAACGTGCATCGTGATTGGTGCGTCTAACGTGGATCGTGATTGGTCCCTCGTAATTTGGACTATTACATTTTACTATTGAGGTGAAATCAATGAAGACAATGTTTTTACGTTATCATTTGGCGGTATTTTCAGAATATTTGACTTGAAATGCATACAAAAATTATATATTATTACATAATTCGGAGATAGTCTTTTCATACCTTGGTCGGTCAAGAATGGAAAAAGGAAAGGAGAAACAGTACACCCCCACCCGGCAGTCTGTTAATGTTTTAGCATTATGGCCTGTTCTATTTTTCGTTGGTGTGGGGTGAGATGTTGGAACAGAGCATTTTATGGACACTTTAAAATCAATCGTCGTCTGTTTAGGCTCATTTCTTCACGGACCTCTGATGACCACGTTACAGTTCATTTCGTGTCGGTAGAGTGAATCCATCCATGCATCCACCCCGTCCACCCCCAGATTATAGAATAGTCGGTCTCTCGCCACTCTGAGAAAGGGGGACGCTCCATTCCGAGTCAACAGGGGCGCAAAATCACTGTCGGGGACGGTTCAGTAACTATCTGGGGGTTCCATTTAAGCCCGGTTCTGCAAATTGTCGCCTTCTACTTGTGTGGTCACAGTTTCAGCAATAAATGTAATAATTTTAATAGCGTGTGTTAGTAATGTGTAATGTAACAATTTTAATTATGATTTTAATAGCGTTTAACTTTACGTCTACCACCAATGACATAAGTGATGTAATACATGTACAAAATGTAGTGTATTGTAAATATTGGATGATGAATGTTGTAGTAACTGTACACATGCAGGTATATACAAAAATGTACCTCCATGCTATATATATATATATATAGAGAGAGAGCCATGATGATACAAAGTTATTATGCAGTGTCAGACATTTTTGTCACCTTCACTAACAGAACAAAACCTGTTCCCAGGCTTCTGCTGTCTCCTGTCAACTATGTATGTATATATGTATGTATGTATGTATTGTATGTATGAACGAATGCCAGGAAGACACGGTTATTAAAATAAAGTTTCAAGTTTCAAAGTTTCTTGTTGTATGTGTCTGTCTGGACTGGTCAGATGTGCAGAAAACTTACTTCCCTACAACATTTTATCCCTCAAATGTCAGTTCATTGAGTTAGAAAATGTTGATCAGCTTAAAAAATTATGTCCTTGCAGGGTTCATCCTCAAAAAAGTCTAGGGTCGGCAGGTTTTTCTAGGGTCGGTCGGGAAACAGGAAACACAACATTTTTTTTCCTAGGCCTCAGAGACCTTGCAGCAGTACAATAACAGACTGGATACTACGACTGGACAATACTAGTTAACTAGTTAAAAATAAGCAAAAATATGCCAGGACACACAACAGATTGCTCTATGGTATCAGAGTCGTCAGCATCGAGGTAAGAATTTATAATTTTCTGCCGTACAAATGTTTTACCAATGTATTACCAGTTAACAACATTCTTTATTGCTCAGCCAGTGATATAATAACCATCTACACCACAAGGATACCTACAATAGTTGTTTCAGGGCACAAAAATGCATAAATTCGCTGCGCAGTGCTTCCACTGCCACTTTGCACATCACTATTACATCTGACATGATAATCAAAGATATGTCCTCTGAGACAACTTTGACCAGTCAACTTAATATAAATACAGTTCAGACTTGGTCACAGTAAATATTAATACTGTTAAGGTTTCCTAAATTACACTAGAAATCTGATACTGTCCAGCTGACAGTTCCTTACACTAGAAATCTGATACTGTCCAGCTGACAGTTCCTTACACTAGAAATCTGATGCTGTCCAGCTGACAGTTCCTTACACTAAAAATCTGCGTCTAACGTGAAGCCATGTCTCATGTCCTCGGGGGTTAGCACGTTGGCTTTCTGGTACTCAGCCACCCTCTTCTCAAAAAAGTTTGCCTTCCCCTGGAGGGAGATATTTTCCATAAAGTCAAACGGGTTTTCCACGGAATAAACCTTCGGACAGCTGAGCTCTGCCAGCAGCCGGTCTGCTACAAACTCAATGTAGGTTTTCATCAGCTGTGAGTTCATCCCGATCATGTCCACCGACATGGCCTCCGTAAGGAACTCCTGCTCGATACTGACGGCCTGGGTGACGATCTGTGTCACTCTGTCCGGGCTGGGCGGGTGGATCAAGTGTTTAAACAACAGGCAGGCGAACTCACAGTGCAAGCCCTCGTCACGACTAATTAGTTCATTTGAGAAGGTCAGGCCTGGCATCAGCCCGCGTTTCTTTAGCCAGAAAATGGCAGCAAATGACCCTGAGAAGAAGACTCCCTCCACGGCAGCGAAGGCGACCAGCCGCTCCCCGAAGCTGGTGTCTTTACTGGCGATCCACTGCAGCGCCCAGTCCGCCTTCCTGCGCACACAGGGGAGGGTCTCCACTGCCCGGAACAGCCGCTGTCTCTCCCCCGGGTCCCGGATGTACGTGTCAATCAGCAGGCTGTACATCTCCGAGTGGACGTTCTCCATGGCGATCTGGAACCCATAGAAACACCGAGCCTCCGGAACCTGGGCAGAACAGAGAACATCAGTTACCATAGAAACACTGCGCCTCCAGGACCTGGGCAGAACAGGGAACATCAGTTACCATAGAAACACTGCGCCTCCAGGACCTGGGCAGAACAGGGAACATCAGTTACCATAGAAACACAGAGCCTCCGGGACCTGGGCAGAACAGAGAACATCAGTTACCATAGAAACACTGCGCCTCCAGGACCTGGGCAGAACAGGGAACATCAGTTACCATATAAACATCAGTTACCATAGAAACACCGTGCCTCCGGGACCTGGGCAGAACAGGGAACATCAGTTACCATAGAAACATCAGTTACCATAGAAACACCGCGCCTCCGCGACCTGGGCAGAACAGGGAACATCAGTTACCATAGAAACATCAGTTACCATAGAAACACCGCGCCTCCGGGACCTGGGCAGAACAGGGAATATCAGTTACCATAGAAACACCGAGCCTCCGGGACCTGGGCAGAACAGAGAACATCAGTTACCATAGAAACACCGCGCCTCCGGGACCTGGGCAGAACAGGGAACATCACTTACCATAGAAACATCAGTTACCATAGAAACACCGAGCCTCCGGGACCTGGGCAGAACAGGGAACATCAGTTACCATAGAAACACCACACCTCCAGGACCTGGGCAGAACAGGGAAGATTAGGGGGCCTGCGGGGGTCCCTTTCCTGCACCCCCTGTGTATACATGTGTACATGTGTGTGCACTGCTTTACGGGGGCCTGCATGGGGGGCTCCCTTACCTGCACCTCCTGTGTAGATTCAGATTCAGATTCAGATTGGCTTTATTGATGTCGCAGTGGAGTACACTGAATTAAGATCAATATTACATAAAAGTACAATATAATGGTTGGCGATATAGGGTTAAAAGGTAGTGCAATAGTACAATACAGTACATGATTAAAATATAGTACAATAATCAATAAAAGAGGAGCGTCATATATACAAAGAATTGGTAATGACAGTAAGAGAATATTCGCTCATTGACAATGCATTAAAAATAAGTTGAAGATTAAAAGTCATGCTGGTTCAACAATCGAGTCAGGTAGGGTATTGGTGAGTTTCTGTATCTCTGTGTTTTAGCCTTTGGAATGTCAAGTTTTTGAGCATTTCTGGTACTTCTGCCTGTGATGCTAGATCTGCGACTCGGCAACCAATGCTCGAACTCAGACTTGATAAGTGATCTGGCAAAGTTCAGGCACAGAGTCTCACGCCTTTCGGCAAGCGTTGTGAGTTTCAGATGTTCGAGTGAGCTTGCATATCCGGTATAGGCAGGACCCATGATGATCCGACAGGCTCTACGTTGTATCCGCTCCAGCTGATCAACTTGTTGTTTAGAAAGTCCCGGGGACCAGACGGGAACAGCGTACTCCATAAGTGGACGGATGTATGCAGTGTAGATGATTAGGAGTTCATTTTGTGAGAGATTAAACTTCCTGAGACGCTTGAGAATAAACAGTTTCCTGGCGGCGTTTGCAGACATATGGTTGACCTGTTCATTCCAACGTAGGTCACTCTGAAGGCGGAGGCCGAGTATCTTCAGGCAGGGGACAACAGACAGAACTGAGGAGTCAATCCGCAGTGGGGGTAACAGTGGTGGGTTTCTGCAGAATGTAATGTGCATTGCCATGCACTTGCTACTGTTCAGGAGCATGTGGTTGTCCATTGTCCAGGAATGTAGTTGGTCAAGGTCGTTTTGGAGACAGGACGGCAGATGGATGGATCTTGTTTCAAGAAAGTTCATGTCGTCTACGTATTTCAGGGCATAACTGACGGCATCACTAGCGGCATCGTCGATCAAAACGAGGAAGAGTATAGGTCCCAGTAATGTGCCTTGGGCAACTCCGCAAGAGAGGGTAACCCAGTCGGAAAGGGCTCCTCTATACCGTACTCTCTGTTTTCTCGCAGAAATGAAGTCGCACACCCACGGAACGAGCTCGGGCCTCAAACATGTATACGTGTGGACATGTGTGTGCACTGCTTTACGGGGCCTGCATGGGGGGCTCCTTTCCTGCACCTCCTGTGTATACATGTGGACATGTGTGTGCACTGCTTTACAGGGCCTGCATGGGGGGCTCCTTACCTGCACCTCCTGTGTATACATGTGTACATGTGTGTGCACTGCTTTACGGGGGCCTGCATGGGGGGCTCCTTTCCTGCACCTCCTGTGTATACATGTGTACATGTGTGTGCACTGCTTTACGGGGGCCTGCATGGGGGGCTCCTTACCTGCACCTCCTGGCAGAAGCGTTCCACCAGGTTCTCATTGACGATCCCGTCGCTGGCAGCGAAGAAAGCGAGAACGTGCGACAGAAACCGCCGCTCCGCCGGCTTCAGCGAACACCAGTCCGCCATGTCCTTCCCAAGATCCACCTCTTCTGCACACCAGAACGAGGCTTGCGCCTTTTTGTAGAAGTCCCACATGTCGTGATATCGGATGGGGAAAACCACAAACCTGAAGAAACACAGGGACGCAACATTTGACACAGCAACTTAAGAAGCCAGACACATATATTACCAGTATCAGGCCACATATGTAGACTACTGATGACACTGGGACATAAAAAAGGCAAGTGTGTGAGTTTTGAGTGTGTGTGTGAGTGAGTGTGTGTGTGTGTGTGTGAGCGTGTGTGTGTGTGAGTGTGTGTGAGTGTGTGTGTGTGTGTGTGTGTGTGTGTGTGTGTGTAGTGTGTGTGTGTGTGTGTGTGTGTGTGCGTGTGTGTGTGTGTGTGTGTGTGTGTGTGTGTGTGAGTGTGTGTTTGTGTTTGTGTATGTTTGTGTGCACACATGTGTGAGCATGTGCTTTGTGCAGCAGAAACAGCAGCAGGACTCCCACCTGTTGGGGTTGGGTTTCAGCAGGGGTTCGTCCGCCTCTCCCGTGACCAGGCTGAGGCCATCGCAGGTTCCCACAGAGGAGCTGTCGGAGATTCCAGAGTCACTGCCACTCAATCCGGAGCCACTCATTCCGGAGCCACTCACTCCGGAGTCACCGGAGTCACTCACTCCAGAGTCACTGCCACTCCGGTCCTTTTGCCTCAGCAAGTGAACTCCTTCCCCACGGGAGCACGCTGCAGCCTAACATGGGAACAAACAGCTTCGTTACACAAATAAGGGAAACCTGCATATATGGAAACACACACATTAACCCAGCTGCTATAGACGAACCTTACAGAACAAAATTCCGAAAGTATGTGTGTGCGGGGGTTCTCTGGGGGCTCTCTGGGGGCTCTCTCTAGGGGGTGTATGTCATTTGTAAGGACACGTGATAAGTTTGTCCTTCATATTTCCCTGCATTGTAAAGAGACCAATTGTCCACAACAGCACTACTAGTACTACATATGTAACGTTATCACGTCTACAACAAAGCAGATCATACGATGGCAAGGCAGTATCCATTTGGCCAGAGGAGTGTCCGTTAGCCGCTCTGGTGGCCAGTGAATACTGTCTGGCCAATGGATACTGCCTGTACTCCAAGCAGATCATACAGTGGCAAGGCAGTATCCACTGACCACAGCAGAGCCCTGCAACAATCGCCGTGGCTAGTGGAGGTTACATCACATCACCACTGACATGACTGGCAGCTAAACACGATCGTACCGGGATTTCCGGTAAATCCTGTCCTTCCTCACCTTTTCCGTGTGCAAACTGCCTCTTGCCGCCCCTGCTGGACTTGTGTAGTCCATGCTCGCAGCTTTGGGAACGACGTACGCCGACAGAAACTGTGCGTTTTGTAGCCTTATCTAACAATAAGCAGCGGTCGCCATCTTTATAACCCTTCAGCAGACGACGTGACGTCATGTGGCACTGACCAATGAGAGGCGGCGTAGCAGGACAGGCTCGAGCTTGCGTTTCTTGTGTCCTTCTAGTCCTACTCGCCAGAGAGCGCCCTTGTTGATTATCTAGTCAGTCATGTTGAACACTTTGTTGTACTCGTATTCAGCCACGTAACGTCACACACACACCGCCTAATCCTGTCTGAACACTTCAGCCACATGTTCAAGGTCTGCGGAAGAAACTGCACAACTGCAAATATTCACGTAATTTCCCCCACTTCCGAAGTGGACTAGTCGAGATGTCCCATCATTCCCTGGTGACGTTATCCCAGGGAGGCGGAAACAGGAAAGTTTGTTATTATATTTTACAGCAGAAGCAAATTTGTGGCCAAAGATGCCACTTAAAACACACAGAGGTTAAGAGTATCGTGGATTTGGGGTCAAACGACGCTAGGGAACATTAAGGACGGACCTTCAGAAGTGGACTGGTCCCATCAGCCGTGCGTACTTGTGTTTTGGCGTGACCTGCGACTGGTGAGCAACTTGCCGTTGTACTGCAGATTCTTTGGCCTAGGAATCCGTGTTCCTGCTGACACCCTTTCAACGCTAATCAAGTGTGCAGTAGAGTAGAGACTAGAATAGAGTACCAGTACAGTAGGGTGGAGACCAGCTTAGAGTAGAGTAACGTTAAGAGTAGAGTAGGGTAGAGACTAGAGTAGAGTACTGTAAGTGTAAGTTAGGGTATCTCATATGAATTTCTGAGACTTGAGTACGTCATGGAGGTAGAAAAAAGGGTTTTTCTACCTCCATGAGTACGTAGAGCAGGGTAACGATTGGATCTCTGGCCCGGTAGGAAGACCACATATAGATCTTGAGGTCCAAGCCTGAAATTTTAATAAAACCTGTTTTCTCGTCACAGGTAGATGGCTTAAGGCTGGTCAACATGGACTTCTACTGGTACATGTAAGTATCAGCATTTCTAATTCTAGCCTGGAGTCCAGCCTTGTTGCCTTTGGTCCAGTTGCCAAGATCTGCTGGGAAGCAGACCAAAGCTAACAAGGCTGGACTCCAGGCTACAGCCTTTACACTGGTGCATGTCCAGTTAACAGCAAGATAATTCACAGCCCTTGTACGTTTGAATCGATACTTGTGTTTTCCTGGAACTATAGAGCTTATTCACCACACGTCATCATGACGTCACGACCCCTCATGTCCCGTGCGACGCCATTTTGGGGCTACAGCGCCTACAGCGAGTTTCCAAGCATTGAAATGGCCGACAAACGTTAGGTAAACTGTCCTTTGTCCTATTACACGAAGAGTTAACCACCACTCATACCTCTCGTTACTGGAACAAAATAAAATCTGTTGGGATTGACCCGTTTCTGTTGAGTTTTGATCAGTCTGATAGAAACGGCGTCTACCGCCAGCGGAGTCCATTGACGTGACTTAGCTTCGTATTTGGTACTGGGCAGAAGTTTTTACACACAGGATCGGTTCAAGAGTCTGGAAGCGTTGTATCAGGATGTGTAGAAAGTGTTGTGGGACAGTTGCGTGGTGACAATTAAGTACGTTGTAGTCGGGAAACGCAAAAAGTCGCGGCTATTTTGGAACAGCCCCGGAGTGTGTCTGGATAAACAACAAGCAAAGGCGAGGCCATCGGCCGCCATCCTCAGTCCGCACTGCCGCGACTGTGGCTGGACAAGGTGAGTGTTACACGTTGCCAGCGCCCTGTTCTACATGGAGATTTACCACAGAGTAAAGGGACAAGTAGCTCCGAGTCCAACATTTTACCGTGTTCATGGCTACCCACGTTTCAATCTACATGTACATGTACAGCCCCGTACGCCGCGCCAGGATTAAACACACCGATTTCTGATCAGCAAAGAAAGACTGAAAAGCCGATCTTGACAACATGAAAAGTGGACACGGAGCCAGAACAACCCCAAGGACAATGTTACTAACAAGAAGAGTGTCCAAAACGTAGATTGTGGCCCAAAATACACAAGTTGTGACAACTATCGCCAAGAGTTTGCATAGCATTGCATAGCGATAGCCCCAAAATGGCGGACGCCAGGGGGAGAGTCACGTGACAATCTGTGGTGAATAAGCCCTATAGTACCACACAAGCTGAAAATTTGTACTTGTATGTCTGCTGAGACTGACATAAATAAAAATATCTACATTTTACTGTTAATCCTGGTTAATCCTTGTTACTCTGTTTGCAGAATCCTGTTTGTGGCGATAATCCTGAAGATCCTGTTCTACCTGTGCTGGTTTTACTCCCGGCAGCGGCGGCTGGCAGCCGGGCCTGAGGTAACGACCTTGACTCTAGTGACCTTGTCTCTAACGACCTTGACTCTAGTGACCTTGTCTCTAACGACCTTGACTCTAGCAACCTTGTCTCTACCATGTTATCCAGTGTTCATTGCTGAATGGAGCTCTGATATCCAGTGTTTATTACTGAATGGAGTTCTGATATCCAGTGTTTATTGCTGAATGGAGTTCTGATATCCAGTGTTTATTACTGAATGGAGTTCTGATATCCAGTGTTTATTGCTGAATGGAGTTCTGATATCCAGTGTTTATTGCTGAATGGAGTTCTGATATCCAGTGTTTATTGCTGAATGGAGTTCTGATATCGTGTTTCTCCCCCCTTCTGTAGCTTGCCCATGGCCCCACTCCGGGAGGAACGCTGTCCCGACCGCCCCCCTATCCCGGCATGGACGGACAGGACCCCCCCGCCGGCCCAGTGGGCAGTTTCCCCGAGCCGCCCCCCTACTGTGAGCTGGAGGAGCATGATGGGAAGCCTCCGCCTTACCACGCCGTCGTCGCTCTGAAGGAAGCACAGGCTCTACAGTCCCAGCATGCACTGCTGCAGGATGATGCACCGGTATCCCATGATCCTCCACCTGACCCATCACCACAGATGTCCCAGAATGCACATGTTCAAGTGGTTACCACGACAACAGGAGTGATTGACAACAACCCTCCGTGCTAGCTGGGTTACCATGGCAACGCTCACTACTGGTGCCTTCCGTCTGCTGCCAAACCTGGAACTAGCCAAACAAACAAACAAAAGTGACATGTACAAAAGTGGAGAGCCTGACATGTACAAAAGTGGGGAGCCTGACATGTACAACAGTGGGGAGCCTGACATGTACAACAGTGGGGAGCCTGACATGTACCAAAGTGGGGAGCCTGACATGTACAAAAGTGGGGAGCCTGACATGTACAACAGTGGGGAGCCTGACATGTACAACAGTGGGGAGCCTGACATGTACAAAAGTGGGGAGCCTGACATGTACAACAGTGGGGAGCCTGACATGTACAACAGTGGGGAGCCTGACATGTACAACAGTGGGGAGCCTGACATGTACAGAGCCTGACATGTACAGAGATGAGAACAGGAACATATTTTATACCTCCCCCTTCCTCCTAGCTGTGACACAGTACGTCATTGATCAACTCTGGCTGTTCATGAGTGTTACGTGGACTTTATTTGCCGACCTGTATGTTTATTTCAGAAAGCTTGGAGACATTTATGTCTTAGAGACAGCCAGACAAATGTTATATAAACTGCATGACAATGCAGGTGTGCTTATATACATATGCAGGGTGCTTATATACATATGCAGGGTGCTTATATAAATATGCAGGTGTGCTTATAAATGCAGGTTTGGAGCTATAAAAGTATAATCCTGATATAAACACCTGAACAGGTGAGCTGTAACCCTGATATAAACACCTGAACAGGTGAGCTGTAACCCTGATATAAACACCTGAACTACAGGCAGGTGAGCTGCTGTTGAGCCATAATGAGAGAATCAGGAACATCCCTGAGCTTCCAGGTCAGCTGTTTGCACAGCTTGTGGTGAATGCACTGATCAGTGTAAAACCTATGGGGTGCACTGGTCAGTGTAAAACCTATGGGGGTGCACTGGTCAGTGTGAATCCTATGGGGGTGCACTGATCAGTGTGAAACCTATGGGGGTGCACTGGTCAGTGTGAAACCTATGGGGGTGCACTGGTCAGTGTGAATCCTATGGGGGTGCACTGGTCAGTGTGAAACCTATGGGGGTGCACTGGTCAGTGTAAAACCTATGGGGGTGCACTGGTCAGTGTGAAACCTATGGGGCTTGTTAGATACAGACTTACTGGTGCCATTGTTAGAAAACAACCCCATGATGAGTTCTATTTGAAAGGGCAAATGCTGTGAACTCAACTCACAAAGACTTGGAGTCACTTCCAACTATCTGTATATATATATACTCAACGTTTAAGGATCTAACAGTAACTTGTGTTCATGCCAAATGTCACGTATTGTAACACTTCCTGTTCTGTATACCTACATTTCAGGGATGAAATAGTGTAGAAAATTTGATACTTCAGTAAAACAATAATCATCACCAATGAAGGCTGTGACACAGTCGTCAGTTTGTAGGAAGAATCCTTTGCTGATATGCAAATGTTGGCTGACGAGGGGGGTGACAGGTAAAGTAGCTGTAGCCAATCTCTACATCACAGTAACTTCAAAAAACTTCCAGCTTTCCAACCTGGAATAAGATTCATGTTAGCTTTGCATTCTGGAGTACTGACCACTAAGGATAAGTTTGCTTCATGCCCAGATGTTCTGTTGGGCGTCTAGTGTAACCCATCCCCCGGGTGTGTTTAGTAATTTACCGTAGTGATAAGTGCGTGACCACTTCTACCAGCCATAGTTTATTGTGAAGATTCGCTTTTGTCATGTAAAGCTGGAAATGTAGCTGTGACAATGACCATCCAAAGGAAAGTTTAGTGATACACTTTTTGGTTCATCATTATAGCTTTTTAGCTTTTTTAACACACCACCAAAGGGCGGTTATACCGGCTATACAGATACAGAAGCTGGTGTGTTACGCCGAAGGGCGGTTATACCGGCTATACAGATACAGAAGCTGGTGTGTTGTGCCGATGGTCAGTTACACTGCCTATACAGATACAGATAGCTTAATCCAACTTGATAGGATGTTGATGTAAAGCTTTACTGTGCTCTCTTCCTAACACAGGGCATACGTGTAGAAATCATCACAAGATGCACTCTTCTTGTACCTATGGCTGGTATCTGGTTACTATGTCTAGTGTCACCATAGTTTAGAGCCATTATACAAGTCAGTATGGATCCTTTACTATGTCTAATGTTTAAAAATGTCACCATAGAGCCATACAGTACGGATCCTAACTACTGGTATGTCTAATGTCTATATATTCAGATTGATGCAATGATTGTGTACAGCTATATCAAACTCCTCTTGTATGTATTCCAGAATATTTTGCTAAATAAAGGACTGTAAGTGCAACATGTTGAATCCTGTGTTTTCCTCCTGCCAAGAACGCCACTTCCCCAATCTACCTGGACTGCAGACAACAATGTCCTTGGCTAATATTTTGGCCAGCTGCTAATCCAAGAATTCTAATTGTAAAAATTTCTACACGGCCAATTTCTTCATGATTATATCATAACCAATGTGTTGGGCCAAACCATGTGATTTTTTGTAAGGGATCCTCTAGATCACACAATAAAATATACAAAAATGACACCAATTGGAAAGAACTTTTTTGTAAAAAAATACCAAAATCAGTGTGTGCTGACAAGGCCTAACTTGAAGCATAAAGCTACCTATAGCTTAACCCTTGGCTAGTTGTGTCATAACTGCGGTCTGCACCATGTCTGAGTTTGTGTATGATGAGAGTGTAAGTGTGAGTGTGTGTGAGAGTGTAAGTGCAAGTGTGAGTGTAAGTCATGACTGTGCAGCCTGTAGACTGTCTAAGTTTGTGTATGAATGAGGCTATGAATCGTATGATGTAAGTGTGAGTGTGAGTGAGTGTATGTGTGTGAGTGAGTGTAAGTGTAAGTGTAAGTGTGAGTGTAAGTCATGTGTAGCCTCCAGACTGTCATGACTGTGCAGCCTGTAGACTGAGTTTGTGTATGTGTAAGTGTGAGTGTAAGTGTAAGTGTAAGAGTGAGTTTAAGTGTAAATTTAAGTGTGAGTGTAAGTGTGAATGTGAGTGAGTGTAAAAGTGAGTTTAAGTGTAAGTTTAAGTCATGACTGCGCAGCCTGCAGACTCTGCCCCAGCAGCGAGACGAAGCGATGAACGTATGATGTAAGTGAGTGTGTGAGAGTGTGTAAGTGTGTAAGTTTAAGTGTGAGTGTAAGTGTGAGTGTGAGTGTGTGTGTGACTGAGTGTAAGTGTAAGTTTAAGTTTGAGTGTAAGTGTAAGTGTAAGTGTGAGTATAAGACGTGTAAGTCATGACTGTGTGGCCTGCAGACTCTGCCCCAGCAGCGAGACAAAGCAATAAGTGTAAGTGAGTGTGTGAGAGTGTAAGTGTGAGTGTAAGTTTAAGTGTAAGTGTAAGTGTAAGTCATGACTGCGCAGCCTCCAGACTCTGCCCCAGCAGCGAGACGTGTGTGTGTGTGTGTGAGTGTATGATGTAAGCGTATGATATAAGCTTAACCCTTGGCTAGTTTTGTCAAGACTGTGCAGCCTCCAGACTCTGCCCGAGCAGTGAGACGAAGCGATGAACGTCGCAGAAGGAGTTGTAGAGCGGAGTCGGGGCGATGCGCAGAACGTTCGGCTCCCTTTTGTCACACTGCAGGGGAAAACAAAAGTGTAATTATTTCATTTACAATACCAGTCACAGGGCAACTCTACAATTTGGTAGGTTACGCTGTGCTTTGGCCATTCACACGGCAATGCTAAGATTTAAAACCAAGACATTAGATTAGTTTGTTAGTGAGTAAGTAAGTTAGTTACCACGACTCCTCTCCGCTCCAGCTCAGATTGGTTAGATTAGTTAGTGAGTAAGTTAGTTTGGCTAGATTGTAAGTGAGTAAGTTAGTTAGTTACCACGACTCCTCTGCGCTCCAGCTCAGATTGGTTAGATTAGTTAGTGAGTAAGTTAGTTTGGCTAGATTGTTAGTGAGTAAGTTAGTTAGTTACCACGACTCCTCTCCGCTCCAGCTCCGTGAAGACCCGGGTGATCGGCACAGAGAACATGAGAGACAGCTGGCAGCCGCGCTGGGCGGGGTCGGAGGGCGTGATGATGTCCACCCACGGACGGGCGTTTGGTTCCCCGGCGTTTGGTTCCCCAGCGGGACGGGCGTTTGGTTCCCCGGCGTTTGCTTCCCCATCAGCAGGGTTCTCAGGTTTGGTGTAGAACTTCTTGATGAGGAACTCCAGATAACCCGTCAGCAGCACCGACTTTTTCCTCAGCTCAGCCATCGTCGTTTTCTCAAACACCTGACAGCAGAAGGCAGCAGCAGGGTGCAAGGGTTGGTTACGGCAAGGGTCTTGTGGTAAGGGTCGTTCAATCAGCATATAAAGGTTCTGGGTTCGAATCCCTGGCAGGCCCGAATGTTCTGCCCTTGGAAAAGGCTCTTTACACCTATTTCCTCACTTGTCATTACCGTTTACAAATAAATCACCAAGTTTCTTTTTTCTGCACCTGCCGCCACCATGAACATATAGTTCCGTGCACCTTCATTTTTCTCAGACCATGAACTTTTGCTACATAAACATGAACATGAATTACAGTATCTAGCTTTGGTTTAATTGGGAGGTCCTGTGTTTGAGGAGAGTCATACCTCAAAGCACATTTAAGATCCCACCACACATCGAAAACAGCACAGGTCCATTTGATTTGAGTGGTTCAGGGTTGGTCTCAGGGTTGACACCTTGAAAAGGCGATAGTAATTTCTCATGTCAATGCTTCCATAAATGTGGTAAAACCTGAATAAACAGTGACTCACGTCCAGGCTTGCCAGGAGCGGGCTGACCAGGAGGGGCGGCGGGTTACTGACACGGAAGCCGTTTACTCCCGGGGACAGCTCCAGCTCTGCAACAACAGTCAACAATAATCAACAATAGTCAACAATAATCAACAATAAACAACAACAGGGCGGCGGGTTACTGACACGGAAGCCGTTTACTCCCGGGGACAGCTCCAGCTCTGCAACAACAGACAACAATAATCAACAATAGTCAACAGCAGTCAACAACAGTCAACAGTCAACAACAGTCAACAACGGGAGAGGCGGGTTACTGACACGGAAGCCGTTTACTCCCGGGGACAGCTCCAGCTCTGCAACAACAGTCAACAACATTCAACAATAAACAGTCAACAACAGTCAACAACAGTCAACAACAGTCAACAACAGTCAACAACAGTCAACAGCAGTCAACAATAAACAGTCAACAACAGTCAACAGCAGTCAACAACAGTCAACAGTCAACAACAGTCAACAACGGGAGAGGCGGGTTACTGACACGGAAGCCGTTTACTCCCGGGGACAGCTCCAGCTCTGCAACAACAGTCAACAATAATCAACAATAGTCAACAATAATCAACAATAAACAACAACAGGGCGGCGGGTTACTGACACGGAAGCCGTTTACTCCCGGGGACAGCTCCAGCTCTGCAACAACAGACAACAATAATCAACAGTCAACAACAGTCAACAACAGTCAACAATAATCAGTCAACAACAGTCAACAATACACAGTCAACAACAGTCTACAACAGTCAACAGTCAACAACAGTCAACAACAGTCAACAGTCAACAGCAGTCAACAACAGTCAACAGTCAACAACAGTCAACAACAGTCAACAGTCAACAACAGTCAACAGCAGTCAACAGCAGTCAACAACAGTCAACAGTCAACAACAGTCAACAACAGTCAACAGCAGTCAACAACAGTCAACAGTCAACAACAGTCAACAACAGTCAACAACAGTCAACAGTCAACAACAGTCAACAACAGTCAACAACAGTCAACAGTCAACAACATTCAACAACAGTCAACAACAGTCAACAGTCAACAGCAGTCAACAACAGTCAACAGTCAACAGCAGTCAATAACAGTCAAAACAGTTAACAGTCCACAACAGTCTACAAGTACAGTACACGAATCCCTGTGGGTCTATTGTTTCAGTATTTTCCACAGTTGTTGTTTCTGTATTTTATCCCCAGTTTTGTTGTTAAACTTTAAGGAAACATCAACTCACTGTTGTCCATCCTGAAGCGTGTGTTCATCTGGTGTCCCCACCAGCCCACGAACCTGTGCCCAGCCCTGTCTGCGTGTTTCTCATGCACAAAAGCTCCGGCCAAACCGCCCGCACCAGAGTTCATGTACTGGGAAAACACCAAGTCTTCACGTAAGGAAATCACTACAAACTTAACTTACCCACTTCAGAACGAACTAGAAACCTCTGAAACTGAGTTCATGTACTGGGAAAACATCTCAAGTCTTTCGATAAGGAAATCACACCATACTTGAAGCTGAAAGATTAGAAACAAAGTTAGCTGGCCGGCTGTAAGCCGTGTTGAAGAGTTGGCCCTTACCTTGTAGGTGCACCAGCATGCAAAGTCCACTTCCCAGTCATGTAGATGTAACTCTGCATTTCCCACAGCATGGGCCAGGTCAAACCCTACCACACAGCCCTGTCAATAAAGCACACAAACCAGTCAAACCCTACCACACAGCCCTGAAGCACAAAGGCAAACCAGTCAATCCCTACCACATCAAACCCTACCACATCAAACCCTGCCACACCAAACCCTGCCACGCCATCATAAAAGCACCAAACAGTTCATCATTGAAAAAGGAACTTCTGAAGGAACCAGAAAAGAGAAAAAACCAGACCTTGTTGTGCCCGGCCTGAGTGATCCTCTCCATGTCAAACAGCTGCCCGGTGTAATACTGCACGCCGCTGAACGCGATCAGGGCTATGGACTCTCCCTCACGCTCAATCAGCGAAACTATGTCCTCTGTCCTCAGGGTCTGTTCTCCCTGTAACACACATATTCTCCCTGTAACACACATATTCTCCCTGTAACACACATGTTCTCCCTGTAACACACATCAGAACATGTTCTTCCTGTAACACACATCAGAACATGTTCTCCCTGTAACACACATCAGAACATGTTTTCCCTGTAACACACATCAGAACATGCTCTCCCTGTAACACACGTGTTCTCCCTGTAACACACGTGTTCTCCCTGTAACACACATGTTCTCCCTGTAACACACGTGTTCTCCCTGTAACACACGTGTTCTCCCTGTAACACACGTGTTCTCCCTGTAACACACGTGTTCTCCCTGTAACACACGTGTTCTCCCTGTAACACACGTGTTCTCCCTGTAACACACGTGTTCTCCCTGTAACACACTTGTTCTCCCTGTAACACACGTGTTCTCCCTGTAACACACGTGTTCTCCCTGTAACACACGTGTTCTCCCTGTAACACACGTGTTCTCCCTGTAACACACGTGTTCTCCCTGTAACACACGTGTTCTCCCTGTAACACACGTGTTCTCCCTGTAACACACGTGTTCTCCCTGTAACACACGTGTTCTCCCTGTAACACAGGTGTTCTCCCTGTAACACACGTGTTCTCCCTGTAACACACGTGTTCTCCCTGTAACACACGTGTTCTCCCTGTAACACACGTGTTCTCCCTGTAACACACGTGTTCTCCCCGTAACACACGTGTTCTCCCCGTAACACACGTGTTCTCCCCGTAACACACGTGTTCTCCCTGTAACACACATGCTCTCCCTGTAACACACGTGTTCTCCCTGTAACACACTTGTTCTCCCTGTAACACACATGTTCTCCCCAGTAGATAGTACATCGTATGTAATCTATCTACAGCTGACCTGTCTAGGTTCTGCCAGTAGAAGACTTGTGGCAGGGTCGTAACCATGGAAACGGATTTGGGACTCCATCGCATACTGGAACAAGGAAACATTTATCCATAGTTAATTACTGGAACAGGGAAACATTGATGCATATTTTATTCTGCTGTTGGCTATAGATGTACAAACTCCCTGTTCTTAAAATACTGACACATACATGTACATTAATTTTGGCCTGTAACAAACATTTCAAATTACCGTCATAAACCTGTTGTGTAGTGTGTATGAAAGGCAAGTATTCACTAACAGCTTTGTCTCTAGCATGACGGCTTACATTAATTCTGGATAATTCTTGTCTGGGTGACTCACATGGTCTGATGGGAAGGCTTTTCCCTCGATCAGAATCTTGTGCCTCGCTGCTGTGGGCTGGTAGAAGGACACCTGGATGTACACATGGAGGACAAAGTCTAGTGTTTATAGGAGAACCCAGGGTTACACAGTGACCAAAATTTATCCTCTGAACCAAGGTTGCCCTCTGACCCAAAGTTAACCTCTGACTCAAAGTTGCCTCTGCCCCAAGGTTGCCCTCTGACCCGAAATTGACCTCTGACCCAGGACTACCCTCTCCTCCAAAGTTACCCTCTGACCCAAGGTTACCCTCTAACCCGAGGTTACCCTCTAACCTGAGGTTGCCCTCTGACCCAATGTTACCCTCTGACCTGAGGTTGCCTTCTAACCCGAGGTTGCCCTCTGACCCAGGGTTACCCTCTAACCTGGGGTTGCCCTCTAACCCGTAGTTGCCCTCTGACCCGAAGCTGCCCTCTTACCCGAGGCTGCCCTCTAACGCCAGGTTACCCTCTAACCCAAATTACTGACCAGGAGGAGGTGCAGGTTGACCGTCAGCCCGTTCATGCAGGCCACTTCCTCTGGCCTCGCTCCTGGGAGAAACACACAACAGGAAGACTTCAGTACACAGTCAAAACTTTGGTCCAACACAAAAAAGCAGCACATCACATTTTCAACTAAACACTCTACTGTAGTCAACCTTAGAATTCATGTGATCCTGGCACTCTGACGTACCCACGATCCTGACTTACCCACGATCCTGGTATTCTGACGTACCCACGATCCTGACTTACCCACGATCCTGGCTTACCCACGATCCTGGTATTCTGACTTACCCACGATCCTGGCTTACCCACGATCCTGGCACTCTGACTTACCCATGATCCTGGCTTACCCACGATCCTGGCTTACCCACGATCCTGGTATTCTGACTTACCCACGATCCTGGCACTCTGTTCAATGACGTATTCATCACACAGTGCCCAGGGTCTGGCTCCTTCAAAGTGACCAAAAACACCACTGCAGGTACAGCAACAAAAAATAGCATTTGTTAGCACACACACTGTCGGACATTCCCAAATTACTGAGATATGTTCTCTGAACTTTTTTCTAGTCATAGAAGAAACAAACGTGGAAACAATTGATAACATGAAACTAAACTCACTATCTGGCCCAGTAGTCCAAGTCTTGTTCCAAGTATTTCCTGACTCCTTTTGGTTGGAGACCAAGAGAATTCCCACACAAGTAAACACAGTCATCATCTGCACACACGAGTGTAGGGTCGGCTGGAAAACAGAGAACATGTTAATATCCATTCTACCTCCTCAAATGTGAATGCTCTATGGTGAGATATCCTTACTAAGGTGAGATATCCTTACTAAGGTGAGATATCCTTACTAAGGTGAGATATCCTTACTAACGTGAGATATCTTTAGTAAGGTGAGATTTCCTTACTAAGGTGAGATATCCTTACTAAGGTGAGATATCCTTACTAAGGTGAGATATCCTTACTAGGTGGAAGATCTTTCATCTTGGGGATGAAGAAATCTTCCCGTAGTCCCTGCAGGGGGTCCTCCGTATCCATGGCAACAGCGAAGGCTTGTTCCTCGGGTCTGCAGCCCAGAACTGCGGCTTTTTCCTGCAGCAGGTCTGCGGGAAGCCGCGACTCGCTCGGCACTGCAGCAGCCATTCAGTCAGGGGGGTCTGAAAATACATGGGGGGTGATTGCAGAGTCAGCTATTCAGTCGGGGGGGTCTGAAAATACAGAGGTTCAGGGGGGGTCATATTTTAGAATCATATTTTAGTATTAGTTTGTGTATGTACCATTGTTGTTCCTTTGCCATACATTGTACCAGCTACAGTTGTTGAGCAATAAAGTTGATTGATTGATTGATTGATAGGGGGGATTCTAAAACACAGGGGTGCACGGGGGGGGGGTCTACAAAATACGGGCGGGGGGGTGTCATTGCAGAGTCAGCCATTCAGTCGTGGGATCTACTTTGCTTTCCAATGTTGGCTGTGGCCTGGGCTAGACCATGAGCTCTGCTATGTCGGCTCGAGCTATATTGCTAACGGAGGTTCTATTGATGACGGAACAAGCGCTGAACACCTCCACACCACCGGTCTGTAGCTGTATCTGCCGGTCCTCGCGTGTCGCAGCCTGGAACAGACCGGAGACTGAGCAAGAGACACGTCTGGCGAGGTTATAGACCTAATGTCTACTCTACTCTAACAATGACAACTGTTACAGCAACAACAGCTCAGAACATGTCACTCCACCACACGTGTCGGCGTCTGGGACAGGAGCAAAAACGCCCTGAACAGTGAGCGGCAATCATAGTACCACAATCACGTTTACGCCACCAACAGCAGACAGAAAGGAAGGTCTGAGGAGAGTCTTCACCTGTACAAAGTCCTTCGGTTCGTCTGGGGGAAAAACAGACCACTTTTGCCTTATAGATCGTCCGACAGAAGGTCATGACCGGTCAAAGGTCATTCAAGATGGCGGTGTGTGTGGCAGTCATTTCTAAAGAGGTGAGGCAAAACTACCATAATTCCGACTAATGTGAGCTAATGCGAGTAAACGCACGAATCTTACAGTAAGGTAGGAATACATGCAGCGTCCAGGGCTTGAAACTGTGTTTGTAGCCGTAGTGGAAAAGGCAATACCGAGTGCTAAGCACGAATACTCCCCCCCCCCAACTACACCCTCAGCTGTATAATTTGCTCATTAACATACCTTATTACCACTAAGAACTACTCCCTTTAACATGATATTTACCCCCTCCCCACACAGAACTACCCCCTGTAACATGATATTTACCCCCCCCGCAAGGGTACCGAAGTAACGGGTTCCTCACTGGCCGCCCAGTGCGGAACTCGCGGGGAAAGTGGCGTCGGCACTCGGGGCCCTGTGCGGAAGGAAACTCCGCACTGGAATTCTAGTGCAGAAACGGCTTTGTTCCAGTGCTGAAACACCGTCAGGACTAGAATTCCAGAGCTGACTCTTGACTTGGCACTCGTTTTCCGGTGCTAACTTCCACTCAGCACTCGGGTGCCAGCGCTCGGAGGTGCCAGCGCTCGGAGGCCGTTCACCACTGGATAGCCAGTGCTGAATTCCACTCGGCACTCGCTACCAGTGCTCGGAGGACGTTCACCCCTGGATAGCAAGTGCCGAAGTCCCTAAGTAACGGGTTCCTCACTGGATCGTTCCAGTGCTCGGTGACTCTTGGTGCTGGAAGCCGAGTTCTCAAATCATTTCGGCACTGGGCCTCTGGTGCTTACGTCGGCCGCGCGGCGTACAGTACAGTATCGCAGGCCAAGTCTATGTCTGTAAAAATGTGAGGATCTGAGCCTTGCAGTATTGTCCTGCCGATCACTTTGTCGTCCCGATTATAATTTGCTTCCCGGGCGGTACGATCTCGAAAATATAAGTGTTAGAGTTCAAAGGCGGCATCTCGGTACCCTTTCTAAAGACAAGGTTTGATTTGCCGATTTAGAGTTTCCAGTGCTGAAGCCGCCGACACTGGGCACCAAGTGTTAACGTACCTTCGGCACTGGAGATCTAGGACGGAAGCCGCCTCACCTCTGTATACCGAGTGCTGAGAAGGAACCCGTTACTTCGTACTTTGCACCCCCCACAGACTACCCCTTTAACATGATACTTTACCCCTCCCCACACAGAACTACCCCCTGTAACATGATAGTTACCCCCTCCCCCACAGAACTACCCCCTGTAACATGATATTTACACCCCCCTCGAGAACTACCCCCTGTAACATGATTACTTTTACCCCCCCT